AAATATAAGTAAGGAAATAAATAAAAGATGATAGGAATTAACAATGGTTGTTATATTACATATTGTTATCTTCAACAAAGTTGCTCAGATTACCAGATGTAAGAATGCAAGATTGATCAAACAATTAAAGACAATAACAAATATTAAAAGAAATTAGAAATGATACAGAGCTTAATTAAACAAGGCAGTAGGAATTCAGCAATGGTTGTTACATTGCCTATTGTTGTCCTCAAAATGAAATTCTATGAAACAAACACACAAAAAATAAAATGAGTAAAGTGAGGTAAGAAGGAGGTTGACATCAGAGATTACCCAAGTAATACAAGGTCTGAAACTGTCCTTAGAAATTTACTGCTCTTAAAAAGTATACCATTTATGGGCAAGGAGAAATATGCTCACTTTGTCATGCCATTAAATAATTGCAAAACCGATACAGTATACAGTCACATTGCAATTCACAATCTCCAAACAATTCAACATCAAAAAAAAAGTTCACAAAAGAAAAAAAAAAAAAAATGAAAATCCCCATGTACAAGTAATTTTAATAAAACTTGCATATTTTTCTCTTGTTTATATCTTACATGTGATAAGTTAAAACTAATAACACATGAAATTTCAAAATATCCTTTTCTGTTTCTGTGGCATTTCACAATTGTATTTAAAGAGGAACTGGAGAAACAATTTCCATTGATGTGGATTTACAGATGGCAAGAGAGACCTTCAAGAAGTTAACAGAAAATGAATTGATTTCTTCCATGGTAATAGCCAATACTTCAACAGTAGAACAATAGCATATTCTTTTTTTTTACAGAAACAAACATGATTGCAGTTGTGTGTTTTGAAAACCTAGGGGTAGCATACTATGGTTAGAGCTGAATGGGGCTTGAGGTTCATTATGAAATCATTGCATTGCAGACACTATTAAGTGCTAGCATTATTTTCTTACTAAATCTAGACTGGGTGCAGTATTTTTACCTTCAGTCTTAGAAAAGTAAATAGGCTGTAGAAAAATGCATGAAAAATGCATTGGTTTCAGAAGCACACTCATACATCTTGGACTGGGAGATTGGTACTTCAAATGTATTCAAGGTAAATTTCTGCTACTGATTCATCCTTACTCATTTTTGAATCAGCTTTATTTGTTTACAATTCATTTTTTCTTTAAGGTGATAAATTTATAAAGAAAGATTCTGGGTTTGCAGGAAGGAGAACTTTTCCTCTACCTATTTATGTGTTGTATGGGAAATGGAGAAGGGAGTTGAATTAACAATAGACAGATAACCAGGATGTCTTAGTGCTGTGGGACTGCTGTAGCAGAATACTATAGTCTGGGTGGTTCACAATCAGTGGAAATTAGCCAGGGGCAGTGTACATGCCTCAGATGCATGATGTCACTTCGCACAATTCTGGAGGCTGGGAAGTTCAAAATGAAGGTGCCAGCACAGTTAGTGTCCAATGAGGGCCTACTTTCTGATACATATGACTGTATTTTTACCTCACCACATAGAAAATGAATGAGTAATTTCTCTTGAAGCTCCTTCGTAAGGGCACTACCATTAATTTTGTTCATGAGGGCTTTGCCCTTGGGATCTAATTTCCTACAAAAGTTGTTCCTTAATACCATTAAAAATTGGCTTTTACGAGGACAGGTGCAAAGAGTGAAAGTTTGTGGTAACATTCATTTATACAATTTTTCATCCAAGGCCAAGTGATTGATCTCTTTCCTAGCACAGAAGCCTGTAGAGAGGGGCTCTAAGGCAGCTTTACTCTTAGAAGGTTCTGCTTAGTCAAACAATAGAAGCACCGTAAAGCCTTCTTTATGTGTCACTGTACCTTAAAGGTCTTCAGTTTGGGGGATTCTTTGTTGTACTAGTACTCCAAATTCCTTTTGGAGTACTAGGAATTGAATACAGAATGTAGAACATGCGAGGCAGGCACTTGCAAATGAGCTACATCCCCAGTCCTTTTTATTTTTTCATTTTCAGACATGGTCTCTTTAAGTTGGCCAGGTTGCCCAGACTTGTGATGTTCATGCCCCAATGTAACTGGAACTACAGAGGTGTCCGCCATGCCTGGCAAACTTCCTCAGTTTAAAGTAATCTTCCTTGGTGGTATATAGCTCTGTGTAGAGCTCTTGCCTACTGTGTGTAAGGCCCTGGGTTTGAGTCTTAGCACCAGGAAAACAAAACAGAAAACTGGAAGTAATCAGCGTACCATTTTTGTGGTTTAAATGGGTCTCTGCATTTTAAAAGGAAAGAAAAGAGTTTCGTATTCTGTAGTAGTTACTATTGTTTTTATTTCACAAGATGAAAGATAGTAGTAGTGTTATCACATCTGTATATTTTAAAAATAAACTGATTTAGCTGACATGGGACATAACAGGGTACTAGGCTCATTGAGGGTTCTGAGAAATAGCAGTATCACAGAAAGATATGTGGGAAAGAGCTCTTCACGAAATCACTTTCGGAATGTTCCACATTGTTACGGCATCGTGATGGATATTAGCAGGTCACACATTCTCTGATGGTGCACACTGAAAGAAATCTAATTTTTTTGACCCTGTATTTCTTGGAATTACTGATTTTGTGTTGCTGTTTTCCCACATAACACCTACTAGCAATCCATAGATATGGTGTGCACGTAGGCATGTGAAAAACAAATTTTAAGACTATGAATGCAATAAAAGTAATGGGTAGCACTTCACAGTTTGCTATTGTATGTCATCTTCTTTAGTTCTTGTGACATGTACAGGCAAACATTACAGTTTGGGGTATCCATATACTAGATACAGTAACTAATGCTAGCCACTGTAATAAAGAACTTCCGTATCCAGTGGCCTAACACAGTACACTTTTCTTTCTCTCATCCTAGTCCAGTGAGGGGTGGAGGTAGAAGGCAGCTTTGCCCAGGTCTTTTTCCTCACTGGTTCCTTTCTTCCAGTTTCTAGTCTCTCAGGTGGTAGAATCTCCCCTGGGATTGCTTATGCTTGGCCTATGGAAGGTCGCATGAAAGGTTTGTGGGGCCATGCCTGAAAGTATTTCCTGTTACCTCCACCCACATTCCTTAGCTAAGACTCAGTCACAGGGTGCCGTGCAACTGCAGGGGAGGCTGGGAAATGCCATCTTCCTGTGATCCCAGAAGGAGCGTGAGAGGGGTGGATGAGGAGAACATAGGGCGTTTCTGTACCATGTGAGATTTTAGATCTGAGTATGGGTCCCAATGACAATGTGTCACTAATTGAATGGCTTCTTTTCTCTACCCTTTTACAACCCAGTGTCTCCTCCCTCATCAATAAAACAAAGTTTTCACATAAAAAGGGCAAGGAAAACCTGCCATAGTAATTATGAGTAAGATGAAATAAAGTTGTTTAAATGATGTCACCTGACATATGGTGAGTATGATGTGTATGTACAAATATACAGACTGCTGCACAGATCATTCCCACTAGTGTGCTTTTATATGCATTCTGCTTTGCACATTTACTTCTGGAAGAAATAAACAATGTAAGAATACAAAGCTCTTTTGCTGTGAAAATTTTTGACTGATCCATGAGAAAAAAACAAAAAGAAATGGATTTTGTGTGGAGAGACATTAATAGCTTCTCTTGCCAGAAAGGAATATTGATACGATCTGTATACAGTTTTGTCTTTCTATTGATTTTCTTTTCTTTCTTCTTTTTCCTTTTTCTTTTTTTTTTCTTGAGATGTTTTACATTGCTGAACTGGTCTTGACTTCACGGGCTCAGACCAGCCTCCTGCCTCAGCCATTCTAGAAACTGGGAGTAGAGTCACATACACCTGTGCCCAATTACAGTATTGGTTTTAGAGGGTTTTATAGTTGTTTTGAATGTGCTTTACTCAGTTTGTTCATGCACATGTGATTTCCCTTTATTTCATTCATGCACCCTGATGTAAAGTGGTGAGGATGGCTCTCCCCAGTACTACCTCAGGGCCACTTGGGGTATAAAGAATGATGAGTTTCAGAAAAATTAAATGATTATTCATTTGTAACATAGTGGAATAAAACCCCTGATCCCATAGCTCGCTTCTCACAACATTCGGCATCTAATATATTCTGTCATTTTCCCTGATCATGTTTCAACCCAGATAGTTACATGTCTGGAGGCTAATCTGCTCAGAGCTCTTCCATGTCATTCTCCACATCAAGAAGCTCTATTGATTTTCCTCCTGCTGCCAGAATGTCCTGTGATGCATGATTCTAACAACTGGGAGAACCTGGTGATTCCCTTTGCACAGGCGGTTTGTAACTTGAATGACAGATCTTCAAGAATTCTGAGTAAGTTTTATACCACCTTATCAGTACACACAATAATTACTGTCTCAAGTAGAAGTTATTGCATATTTTGACAAAAAATTTCAAAATATATTTGAGTACTGGGTATGTGAATCATTGCAAAAATTAGCCTAAATCAATTTAAACTTATTATAACCATTACTCTCACCATACAAAGTGAGTTGGGATGTTTAATGTATAATAGTGTATCCAGTCAAGATAAATCCTTACTTTAAAACTTTTTCCTCATGTTGTTTTGAAACTTCAAATATTTTTACATAAAGTGATGAAAAACAAATATTAAACTCTGTTGCTATTGTTTATTTTACTCAGTATTAGAGAATGTCTTTATAAATACAGTTTTAAACTAATATTGTGGATCTAAAAGTTCAGGGTACAAGGGAGATGATCAGTGAAATATGAGCCACCCAGTTCTCCTCCTAGAAGGTGGTTACAGGTTCTGTTTTTTTGTGTAACTTTCAGAAAACATCCTGAGCATATGAACATATATAAAGTATTGTTTTTCTTGGTTTTGTTTTCATTTTTTAAGATAACAGTCTTGCTGTTGAGTCCCAGGTTGGCCTTGAACCTGCTATCCTCCACCTTCACCCTCCCAAGTGTTGGATAACAGTCACATACTACCACAACTGGTTTTCTTTATTCTTTTTGTTTGTTTGTTTGTTTATTTTGGGTTTTTTTATTTTTTATTTTTTTCCGGTACCAGGAATCGAACTCACGACCTTGCACTTGCCAGGCAGGTGCTGTGCCACTGAGCTAAATCCTCAGCCCCTTCTTTATTCTTTTAATAGTAGGAAACCATTCACATTCTTCCTTTGCAACTTCTTCATACGTAATGATGTATGATGGAGATCTTTCCATTACAGGACAGTAGAACTACTTAATCTATTTACTGGCTCCATCAATCATCTTGTCAAAACTATCACAAAGTAGCTGAGGTAGGCTTGTTATGAAGCAAAGGTGTTTAAATCACAGAGTTGGAGGCTCAAGAGTGTGAGGCTGCCATCAGCTCAGTACTGGTGAGGGTCCTCTTGCTGTGTCACTTCATGGCAATGGTACTGGCAGGAGCACATGTGGGAGCAGATGATCACATCTCGATACAGGAAGCCAGAGCAGTGCATGGGGCCAGGCTTGTGCTTTTTAAACAGTCCTCTCCCAAGAACTGCCTTACTCCCATATCAGGTTAGGTCCCCAGATGACCTCCTGCCCATGCTCACCTCATAATATCCATGATCGTAGCATTGCCACAATGGGGGCCAAGCTTCCCACACAGGGGTCCTTAGGAGATGAAGCAAATCCAAACCATAGCATTGTCTGAAGAGGATTCCTTTGGGAGGACGTACTGTGGGTCATTGAGTGTACTCTCACGTATCTGTCACAGTGCTAACATGCCTTTCTTTGCAAGTTTACACATGCAAGTTTACACATGCATGAAGCAAAATTATAGCATCAAATTGTGCATTTTTATTTTGAGAAATTTTGCCAAGTCGCCTTCACTGAAGGTACAGTCACAGTGTCACCCAGTTTGAAGTGACTGCCATTCACATTGTTGTCTCTATAAACTGCAGTCCTAGAATGAGGCACCAGGGCAACTCTGACAACTGAGGTACCCACTTACAACTTCATCAATGAACGTCAGCCTCCATTCTGAAGGGCATCATCACCTTTGATCATTGCCATTCTGAAAAAAAAAATCTTTTCATTAAACATCAAATTTTTCTTATAAATGAGGATGTGCTGCTGTTCTTAAATCTCAGGTTCATTTTTTTTTAATCATAGTGTATGAACTATTAGTTTTTCCCTTTGTCATGTTCCCATTGGAACATTTAGCTTTATTTTAGAAGCTTTTAAATTATTGAAGCAATCCTTCATTTATAATAGGAATGGAAAGTTTGTTTTTCCTTAGGCTATTTACTTTTTAAATTTTATTTTGTGGTATTTTTGTCATAAATAATTATTTTTAAACATTTTTATGTATCTGCTACTATAATATTTTCTTTTATGGTTGCTAGTTCTGGGGGCCATACTTCAGAAAGGCTACTGTACTTTGAAAGTTTTTTACAAATTCCCGTGGTCTTACTATAATTTTATTTTTTAAATATATTTGTATTTTTACGTGACTCATAGTAATTATGTTTATCAGTCTAATGTAACATTTCAATACATGTATAGTGTATTATTAGATCAAAACAATTGACATATTTATCATCTCAGTCATTTATCGTTTCTTTGTATTCAGAATATGCAAAGTCCTCTGTAGCTATTGTGAAATATTTAATTAATCATTGTTAGCCATGGCTCTTGTGTCATGCTTTAGAGCATTAGAACTTATTTTTCCTGTGCAGCCGCAGCCTGCATCACTCAGCCATCCTCTCTCCAGCCCCACCCTACCCCACCCCACCCCCGCCTCCTGGGCTCCTGTAACCTCTTCACTTCTCTGAGGTCATCTTTTAGCTTCCTCATGGGAGTGAGAACATGCCCTGTGTGTCCTTCTGTGCCTGACTTGTTTCACTTAACAGGATGCCTTCCAGTTCCACCCATGTTGCTGCAAATGACAGAACTTCATTCTTCCTCACTATGATTTTTATTAGTTCATTTTTATGTTTCAATCTTTGAACCACGTGGAATTTATCGTGGTTAAGTGTTATGGTTTATACACCAGTTTCCAATTGTCCATGCACAGTTATTAAGTGATCTGCTTTATTCTTACTAATATGCAGTGCCAGCTTTACCATATGCTAAAGTCTCGTGTGTAGTTGGATCCATTTATGGAATCTCTACTCTGCTGTACTGAGCTGCTTTCATGCATCTAGTTAATAGTATTTTAATTACATTAGCATGGGTTATTTGGTAGTTGTTTTCTTGGAATTGTTCTCTTAATGTACCAAAGTCCAGGTTGCAATCTTAGCAACATTAAAATATAATATTTAATTATTTTTGAAAATATGTTTCCCTATATAATGATGGTTCATAAAATCTAAAAACACACTAATATTTTCATTTTCATGATGAAAATTTCCTCATGTTTGTGTGTATAGCCACCTACATATGTTTTCAGATTGTAGACCCTATAAAATTGTTAGTTTGAAAGTCATGTAGTCAGTAAGTTAAATATGAACCATCAACAAATTTCTTCAAATCCTGAGTTGAGCTTTTAATCTTAATGATACTTAAGGGGGAAAAAAAACTTTCCCCCACATCAATTAGTAGTAAGAGTTCTGTATGATGGCGCCATTAAAAAAAGACATTTTATGGATTATATCATAATAAATGCGAAATTTATTTCTTACATTAAAGAACCCAGTAGAAACTGAGGGATCTGGGGCTTAAGAAGAGAACGATGTTTATCTAGGTTGATTTTACCCCCTCAGAACAGTACTGGGCATCCTTGGAAGCATCTTCTCTGAACACATTGGTCCAGATGCTTAAGTCAGCCATCATCTCTGAACTGCCTTATATAACCACAAAATTTCAGAGTATCTGTAATATTAAAACTCTTCTAGAAATGATGAAAGAAGTGCATGAGGTAAGAGTTAATCTAAAGGTATGTATACAACCATTCATTCATTTTTGTGGTACTGAGAATTAAACCTAAACTTTCGCGTGAAGCTCTATCCTTATCCCTTTCTTATTTTTAGAAAAGGTCTCACTGAATTGCCTGTGTAAGCCAGGAAATTGAGATCCTCCTTCCTCAGCCTCCCAAGACACATCAGTGACTGGTGTGAGCCACCAAGACCAGCTTACACAAATTTGTTAAAGTCTTCAGCCAGTTGGAGGTGTTTTGTGGTGGTGGTAGTGGTGGTTATTTTCACTACTAGGGATTGAAACCAGGGACTTCACACTGAGCTACATTCCCAGCCTTTTTATTTTTTGAGACAGGATCTTGCCAAATTTCCCAGCCTTGCCTCAGACTTGCATCAGCCTTCCAGAGCTGGGATTACAGGCATGTCCTACCACACTTGGTTCAGTTAGTTCTTAGCAAGTCAAATATCAATCATGAGGAATCAGGTACAGTAGTAGCTTGGTTCATGAATTTAATTTATTCTACAATTTTGGAAAACATGGCCACATTCGTGTTTGTGTGAGAAAGATGTCCATGGTTGTTTGTCATCCAGTGCAGAGTTTGCAAACAAAAACAAAATTTTGCAAACAAAACACTTGTTTGTGAACCAAATTGTTTTCAAACAAAAGCATTCATTAACCAAGGTACCACTATATATATATTTTAAAGTATGGCCCCTTATTATCCAGGTGGATTTGTTCCGGGCCAAAATCCACAGCATAATACAACCTTCACACTCATTCTAGAGCATTTTCATCATCCCCAGTGTAAGTCCTAAGTCCTCTAGCAGTCACTGCTCGGTACTTTCCAAACTCCAGTATCCCCATTCCTATCCCAGTCCTAGGTGACCACCACAGATTGGCTTGTTTTCAACATTTCATGTAAAGAGGATCATATAGCACACAGCCTTGTCTGACTTCGTTCACCCAACATAATGTTTTCAGGGTCATCCATTTTATAGCATTTATCAGTATAGTACTTCATTTCTTTTTATTGATGAATATATGAATGTGCCACATATTTATCTTTCCAACTGCTGAGTGATATTTCAGTTATTTCCACTTCTTCACTGATGTAAATATTGCTCCAAATACATGTGTAGAAGTTTTTATGTACACAAATATTATATTTTTCCTAGACATATACCTAAGAGTGGATGCTTTTAGGATTTTATTCTCTTAGTACATACAAGGCTTGATATCAGAAGGATATCTTTATATATTTTGTCCAGGGCAGGAGCAGTATGTTTATTTTCAAAGCCATCAGTGGCATGTTGGGCCTAGTGGAAGCTGGGTTTGGGGGTGAGGTTAGAGCAGGTAGCCTCTGGGACCACATGCAAGGGCAAGATCAGCAGCTCTTGCATCTGCTCTCGAAGGCTTTGCACTTGGCCACTGTGAAGTAGTTCTTCCAGGTGCTACAGTTTTTTATAACACACACACACACACACATAAACACACACACATACACCCATGTGACCTGTGTCTGCCTCCCCTGCTAGATTGTGCTCTTCTCCCATTTGTGCTGTTACACGGATTCAGTCTACAAGATGATTTTTATCTTAGTTTATCCTGTGCTTAAAAGAATAATGTGTACTGATGCATATTCTTCAGTGGAGAAAGTGCTGGGTTTGTGTAGCATACTTGGATTCTTAAGATGCTTTTATTCTCAAGATCTTGAGACAATGTCCAGTATTTCTGAGCCATAGGAATTTTTTTATCAATCTGACAACACCTTGTATCTTTGACCATATTTCTTCCCTAAAATTTAAGAAATTATTGATCAGAAAAGAGAAATTTTATAGAGCTGTACTTCACAATTAAAAATGTATTTCATATATATATATATAACTTTATGTCATAAATTAGATAATTTATTAAAAAGCAATGTGATTTTAGGTCATATTCTTTTTAAGGTAAACAAATCTACCCGTCATCTGCCAGAAGGTACTTTCAACATAGACGAGCTGTCTGACCTGTGGAGTATTGCTGCAGGAGAAATACTGTCCTTTTGGGCTGTGGACCAGGTAGTGGTCATACTTTACAGCAGTACACACTTGTATCTGTGTAGGTATGCCTTTAATAAATTAACACTTGAAAATTTCCTCATTACAATGCTCAACTTGTTAAACTGGAGAATCACTGAAAACTTAATCATCTTTTGCTGTATGTTTTGGAAATTTGCTTTTAAATAATTTGGATTAACAGATACGAAAAAGCATAGCAGGAAATAAGGTAATAGGGAAAAGAATTGATTTTTTTTTTCTTCTAATTATCAAATCTGTTTCTTCTTTAGGTATTTGATGACCATCCCATTCTTATTATGTTCACTCATTTTTCATTTGTCTGTAATTTACAATCCAAAATTAAGTTGTTACATGTTGATTCATCAATAAAAATGCGGGTATGTATTCTGTATTCCTAAGTATCACAAAATACTTGAGGCTAGGTGCTATATGAATAAAAGAGGTTTCTTTAGTTCACAGTTCTGGAAGTCCAGCAGTGCACTTAGGTATCCTGGCAAAATAGGCCCCATCTTGCTGTATTGGGCATATGTTGAAGGGACTAATTGTGTTGGAAAGCCTAACATCCTTTGGTAGGGGATGGTTTGGTTTGGTTTGATCTGTTGAGGCAGGGTCTTTCTGTGTAGCCCAGGCTGGCCTTGAACTTGCAGTGATTTTCCTCCCTCACTCTCCCAAGTGCTGGGATTATAAGCATGCACTATGCCAGGCTAACAAGCCTAACTTCGTAATAACCTACTCTGGAAAGAACTAATTCATTCTGTGAGACCAGCACTAATCTCTGCTGAGGTGGGGCCCAGTGACTTAATTGTCTTCCACCAGGCCCTGCCTCTTAAAGGCTCTATCACTTCTCAGCAGCACCCCACTGGGTCCAGCACATGAACCTTGGCAGACACCATCAAACCATAGAAGGTGGTCTACATTTTTTGTTACATAAATTTTTGAACATATCTAAAATAGAGATACTAGTATAATAAGTCCCATCACCAAGATTCAACATTTGGCCATACTTTTTTCATCTATCACTTTTTTTGTTTTTTTAGTTGTTACTGTTTTCTGCTGAAGTTTTTTAAAGAAAATCCCAGGCTGAAATCCCAAGTGAAATACTTTTCACTTTCTCATACTTTAATGCATCATTTCTGGTAATCTTGCTCTCATATCTGCTGATACTCATCATGGGTTCAGCTGGTTAATATATGACTCTTCTTCCATTTTAATGTTTTCCGTAAGTCTTTTGAAATTTCATGCTGATAAAATTATTTAATAATTCCATCCATTTTTATTAAGGTTTGCAGTATACAGGTATTTTTAATTGCATCACTTCTTGCAGAGTATTAACTGGAATTCTATAAAGAACCTTTCTTCATTAGTTCAGGGCTGTTTGGTGACCCTAAGATTGCTAAGTACCATTGAAATAGGAAGGCAGTGTTTAATCTTTTCTCTTTTGATTACTATAGCTTGTACCAATTTATGTTTCTACCAACAATGTATGCAGTATATGTTTCACTTATTCACCAATGCAGGATATTATTAATCTGTGTGATTTTTTTTTCCAGTTTTATAATTTAATCATATTTCAGACAATTTTTAATTTATATTTCTCATTGTTTGTTGCCTTAGTCCTCATTTTCTCTAGATAACTGTTTTTCTATATGAGAAATACTGAAACTATTTAGTAGGGTGTGATTTTTCTATCTGTTTCTCTATGTAGTTTTAGTTACTACTATGTCTCAGTGTCAGTATTTGGGCTTTATGTCATTAAGCTTCTTGGAGTTGTATTTGTAAGCTCCAACTGATTCTCTTTTATTCTGAGATAATACTGAGTCAGTTGGTGATTCTTTTTTTCACTTACTTTCACACTACAGCTCTTGTATTATTTCCACATAACATTTACATATTTTTGTTTCCTTATCACCGTGAGCCTTAATTCTTAGTTAATATATATGGTGCTCATTCTACAGACACTATGTTAAAGATTTTCCAAAGATTTTGTTGATTGCTGAGGCCTGTTTTCTGTCACCGCTCAGGACAGGTTCATATCTGTTTATCTCTAGTACTTCTACCTTAAAGACTGATAGGAATCCAGAGTAGTGTCCGTTACTGACTTCTACTAATAATTCAAAGTATATTGCCTCTCTCTGAGTAAAATATAGAGAAGTCTAGGACATATGTCTACAATAAGAGCCGTTTCAAACCTAAAACATTCCATTTCTACACTCTATTAGTAAAATGCTAGTTTACATGACATTTTCCAATGCAATATGACTCAAGTCCATTAATGCTAGGTTTATGTACAATAAGCAAATTAGACACAAGCTACATCCTTCTACATTCCTACTGCATTCTGTAGATAAGGCCTCTCCCTCTAGTTACTGTTGTTAGTGTCAGGTACTGGTATATTCATATATAAGTTTACAGAGATCACTTCTGTTTTTATTTTTCTAACATCCTTGGTAAAGGGAAAAATAGATTATCTTTCCTTCTCAGACCAAGTTTTCTGATAAATTACTCTTATCAAGCCCTTCATTTGTAGAACACACTTCTTCATCAGTGTCTAATCTTTCTAGTCTGTTAGTGAGTAGTTGAGTGGACAGTGGATCTAGACAGGCAGGTTGCACACAATGAAGCACTAGGAGAGATAACTCCTGGTTGTAGTTCTCACTGGCAGAGTTGGACAGCAGACTTCATAGTCCCACTCTCCAAAGGAGACATGATGTACAGTCTTAAATTGTAAGCTCCAAACTGTCCACCAATTCAAATGTGGACAGAGAGAAAAAGAAAACCAATATGTAGAGAACAGGAGTGGAGAACCTGGGAGAGAAGTTAAGATCCAGGTTTCCAGTCCAGCCTGCATTAGGTTACTGGAGGCACAGACTCCTCTCTGCCGGAGTTGGTGGAGGGTACTACTGTCCATGGCTGTCACTCACAGACATGGTACCCATTGCTCTGTGGTCAGTACTGCTAATGTGTAACAGTGTTGTAGACTCTAGTACCAGGAGATGACCTAAAACCAGAAAGGACCAGAGACCAGACCTGTTCCATTTCCTAAAAAATCCAGAACCTCCTTCAAAAAATATTATCAGGGCTGGGGATGTAGTTCAGTGGCATAAGCACTTGCCTGGCAAGCCTGAGATCATGAGTTTGATTCTCAGTACAAAAAAAAAAAAAAATCATCAAAGAAAACATAGTAAAATCAGGAGTAAATTTCTCAGTACAGTATATAGTGGTGGCAGAGGTCTAGGACAGGTGGTTCCCAAGCCCAGAGCCCCGTGTCCCCTAGTCTGGGGAGCTTGGAGAGAATGAAAATGGACAGACACACCCAACCTAGAAACCTGGAATAGGACAGCTGCTATCCACTGGTCTTGCTTTCACAACTGTAGGACAGACCCCAACAGAGCTACATTGGTTATGAGTCCCAAATGCTCCTTTATTGTTCTGGTGATATGCAGAAGCCCTAAAGGAGTATTGAAGGTCAAAGTGAGGCTGGCAAGTCTATTTCTAAATGTCTAACCTAGAGTTCAGCAGAAACAAAGTTAGGTAGGGATTGAAGGGGCAAAACAATCTTGGCTAACCAAAAAAGCTAAATAGCACTAAGAAGAGTAACTAGAGCAATGCTAGATATAAAATGAGGCCACCTGTGGCATGTTTCTAGAGCCTGTAAAGCAGACTGCAGTCTGGGTTAATGAACCATAGTTAGGAGAAGAATCAGTCTTCTTGAGTATGTCTTCTCTCACCTTTGTCCTACAGTTAACATTATTCCAGAGCCCTGAAAGTGCCCATTGTTCATGTGCATGGTGTCAACAGTGTTTCAGCATACTTAATACCAGGGTCACCTTTCAGGATCCTATACTGCAATGTATGATCTGAGATGCTTTTAATTACTATACTTCACCATTCATCTGTGAAGATTAATTTCTTGTATATGACTCTTAGGTGCCATAGTTGTTCTGATGCTACATTTGCTTTATCTACCATCATGTAGACACATGGGTCTTTATCTTAATGACAATGGGAGTATATATAGTAATGGCAATCATGATTAAGTGGATGCTTTACAAAAAACATTAAACAATCTCTAGGATACTTAGCAGTCAAGAGGAAAGGCCAACCAAAATATTTCTTTTTATAGAGGTCAGCAGCCACGGTGGAAGGAAAGGTTGAATCACCTACATTAATACTGAGAATCAGGCGAAGTCACCTGGTGGAAGATGCCCTACATCAGTTAAGCCAAGTTGAAGAAACCAGCTTTTTGAAAACTTTAGTGGTACAGTAAAAAGTGTCATTGAATATTTTTACTCATGCACAAAGGTTGATGTTATGCTAGGCCTGGCCAGGGCAGTTTGATTTTGCTTTGTATATCTTTCATCTTTCTGCTGGGAACAGCAAGCATGGTCTTTTCTCCCATGCAAGAGTGCAGGATAGAAATGACTGAATAGTTATTTCTTTAGTCAAAGAAGTCCCATAGATGAACTCAGGTCAGAGGCTGGGAAAATATACTCAAAAACTTCAGAGGAAAAACTGCAAAAATCACATGCAAAAGACATGGATTAAGGAGTGGTAAAAAATTGAAACTATTCATACAGTCAACAAGAGCAAGTGAAACAGACAGTAATTCTACATTTTGACTCTAGTTTGAATTTAAGATTCTCTACTATATGGGTTTCAATCTAGTCATCCTTCGTTTAATCCTTTGTGGGTGCCTCTAGGGTATTTATTATGTAATATCTCAGAAGATTTGCCCTATTGTGGCTAACAATGGGTAAAGTTTGGAGTCTGACAGAAGGAAGTGGATTTTCCTGATATCAGCCATGAGGGTTAGTGTTAACCTCTAAGAAAGGAGACCAGAACCTGGAAGGTGAGCCTCAGATAGGAGAAGGATAGTTCCCAACATGGGATTTCAGTGGAAAACAAAGAAACTGTTTCATAAGCCAGACTTTCTAGTTGTGTGACTCCCTTTGTAGTTATTTTTCTTTATGTCTTAACTGTGAGGAAATCAGTAGAACATTGTTCCCAAACAGGAATTGACTAAGAGATAAGAATATAAATTTCAAGGCAAATCCAATCAATACATAGATTGTGAATATGGCAAGGTTGTCATTGCCCACTATGAGTTAGTCCTGTGAGGTAGACAGAGTTGCTAGGACATGAGCAGAGATAATAAAATCAGGAGAAAGCTTAATTTGTTAGACTTTTTATGTGGGAAGGTAAGGCAGTTTTTGAACATGATGGTTCTGGCCAAGGTTTTGATCAGACATCTTACAAATAAGATTTTCCAGGCAAAGAGAGTATAAATAGAAAAATCCAAAACACTAAAGCTCATGGACACTTACAATAAAACAGTTTGGCTAGAGGTGTAACTCAGTGGTAGAGTACTTGCCAAGTATGCATGATGCCCTGGGTTTGATTCACAGCACCAAAAAAAACAACAAAAACCAAAAAAAGACAAAGACAGGATATTAGAAAAGGAATCGTTACAGAGACATGCAGAAACAAGGTTAGAACAAAGCCACCAAGTTTAAAGGTGAAGAGAGGTTTGAAAAAGAGGACGTAGTTGGTACTGTTTCTTATGTGATGACTAGCACAATCAGGCACTGTAGTTTCTGCAGGCCTAATGCCCAGGCTGGCTGAAAGGGTGGTTTAGTGAAAGGCCTATTGAGAACACAGGCAAGAAAAACCAAGTAACTGTTAACTGTGGCCAAGGATGTAAAACCTGAACAATAAGATGAAGATATACAACAACATAGAATAACTGGGGAATTGAGCAGTGTGGGAGTTTGAAGCGCATCAAACTTTGGTTCAAGAGTCTGGTCAACATAAATGGTAGATGCTAGAGTCTCCCTTCTCTTGGTACATGTAGCAGTGGAAGGGATCCATGCACTTACTACAGAACAGCCTGAGAAAAATAGGTTGATGGTCCGCACTTGTAGGCAGGAAATTGAGGCTGGATAGACTGGCTGGATAGACTGGCTGAGTGATTCTGGTAATTCCAGTGACTGCAAGAATGATCATTAGAGATTTAACACTTTTCCAAAGCAGCTGAAGCATTAGGTTTAAATCAGACTGTGGGGATGTGTTTTCTTTCTTAGGTTGAATTTATCAAAGAAATTCGTCCTGAGAGTGGAGGGGTCACTGCTGAGTTCTTCCACTGTATATTTGAAGAGATGACCCATCCCAAATATGGAATGTTCATGTATCCTGAAGAGGGTTCCTGCATGTGGTTCCCTGTAAATGTAAGTTTCTTTCTCATAGTTTTTCAGAACAGAAAATGTACTCCACACACTACAATATGAAAACCATGGAAGATAGTGCAAGATAACATCATAGAGAGCTTTGGGACCCATATTTTGGGTAGCATTTGTACAGTTCATAATTTTGCTGAGATTGTGTTGTGACATGTGTCCATGTTCATTCTTTTTTATTGTGGAGAAATACTCAGTTGTATGGATATACTACAATTTCTTTTCCTGATGTCTGATACATAAATACTTGGGGTATGCCCTAAATTTGGAAAGCTAGCACTTGAGAGTGTTTTCAATTAGGAGAGAAATAATTGATAGACATTATTGACAAATATACCTGTTAATTCTCAAAAGGTGAGTAACAATTACATTTTTTAAAAGATGTTTGGAGTGTGAGCACTTTCTTTACTAAAGTTATAAAAAACTTATTGTCTGTTAATAACATGGACAAAATAGTTCTGAAAGAAATCGTATGTTGAGCTTCTACTTACTGGTTGCTTTTCTCAGATTGTTCTCCTAGATGCTGTAGATCAAATCTTAACAGATAATAATAGATTTCTGAGAATGAATGAGCCTCTTAAAGATAGATGGCTAAAGTGTGCCAGTGGTTGGTTTTTTAATCAGTTGATAGGAGGCATTTATTCAGTGTTTCTTGAGGTTCCCACATTCTATTAAATATTATAGAAGATTCAAATTATGACAGGATCCCTTTTCTCCTGAAACTTTTTATATACATAGACAAAGTGGCAAGACTGACATTAGGTTGCCAACTTGATGCCTTAACAGTTACTGAGAAGCATAGCAAGGTAAGGAAGGAATCACTAGTGTGGGACTAGAATCCAAAGTTCTAAAGTGATGGTGGCTGTGCCATGGTTGAGTTTTCAGTTTCTTCCCTGTAAAATGGTTATTCTTTTTGCTCTGTCTGCCTTACAAGTGTGTTGCAAGAATAAAGCAAGATGGTGTGACAGTATGAAAAGAACTCAAATTTAAGGTAGTGTTTGTTAGGGCAGAACAACATCCAGGAAGGATGGAAGTCATTAGAGGTGTGATGGAGAAGTATAGACCAGAGATTAATCATTAAGGACAGGGACAGAATGGACTAATGAAGTACAAGTGAGGGATAGAGAGGAGAAAAATAAATTATATCAACTCTGGGAGGTTGATGATTCATCCTCATCTTACAAGTGAAGAAAATGAGGCTAAGAGAGATAAAGTAATTGCCCAAGACCACAGCACCTAGCAAGTGACCACCCTAAGACATGAGTTTAGTGCTGTCTGACTCCAGAGCCTTTACTCTTGAACATTATTCTATCCTTCTTGACAAAAAATACAAAAACAATTTTTTTTTTTTAAATTTGTGTCTGACTCAGTTAAATGACAAAATAATGCAGAACCAGGGGACATACTACAAAGTTTGGTGTTGCAGTGTACAACTGTGGATGAGGAGAGGATGAAGATTACACAGAGTCAAGATTTATTTCAATCAGGGGCTGGTTGATTTAGCTCAGCGGCAAAAGCGCCTGCCTGGCAAGCGCAAGGTCGTGAGTTCGGTTCCCGGTGCCGGAGAAAAACCAAAACCAAAAAAAAAAAAAAAAAAGATTTATTTCAATCACCAAGAACGCAGAGGGGGCTGCTTCCTGGGCATGAGAACCTCAGGGAAACAACAGTGAGCTAAGACCTCTGCAGTTATTTGTGATTCAAAGACATGAGAACAAGGTGTAGAAGAAAAGCACTTGCAACATATTATGTAGGAGTTTTGGTCAGAAGACAGGGCTGAAATGGGATAATTTGTTACATAACACATGTCGACCTGAATTAAATAATCTCATTGGGGCAGAGGGGACTCAATGGCCAAAGCAAACATCTCAGAGAACAAACTGCTTTTAATTTTGCTGACTGCTATCTTGCAGATTCTGCTCTAAACTCTTAACTATGCATTCCAGAAGCATGGGAACTACTGTTCCAGGTCCTTTTCTTAACATACTCAAATTCAATCACTCCTTTGGCCAGCATTTCCCCACAGTTTGGGAAAGAAAGTTGATTAGTTTAGGAGCAATCACCTTTGGAGATTACAGATATTGTACCTTTAACTCATTTCCAAAATTCAGATACATTTTTATCATCTGTCATATTTATTTTGAGAAGTCAGTGGGGCAGGTAGATTGTTGATTGAACAATTTGTGAGTAGGGCAAGTAGACTGAGTTGATTGAACAGTTTGTGAGTGCCTGAAGCTCTGAGTCTGATAACCGCAAGGCTGGTAGTAGAATAGAAATCTTACACTCTTCAAGCTAGTGGTGTTTCCTCTGTTGGGCTACAGTTATGACCAAGATAGAGTCTGGGATTTCTCTCATCTAGAACTGCAAGGTCCAAAGCAAAGCCAGCTGTCTTAATCTGTTTTTGTTGTTATTATTGTTGATTTTTGTTACCATAATGGTAACCAAAGCTGGGTGCTTTACAAAAAAGATTTATTAAGCTTTCACTTCTGGTATGTTCAGACACCTAATACGGGTATCATCTCAGCTCTGATGAGGATCTGATGACAAATGGTATCATGGCAGTCTCCTGTGCAGGGAAGAGGTTGCATGGAGAGAAAGGAAGCCAGGTGAGAGTGGGCTCCCATGGAACTATATTAGTGCCTTCCAAGGGTATATTCCCAGTGACCTCACAACCTCTCCATAAGCCCCTCCTCTTAAAGATCCCATGTTACAGTAAATTTTTTTAAAGGAGCATTACAGTGGGTGTATAACACCCACATTTATTTTTAAGAGTATTTCTACTGATGAATTACTGAGTTTTATTATACAATATGTATTTAAGAGGAAAATAAAATATCAGTAAAATATTAAATTTTTAATATGTAATGAGTGTTTAGAATCAACATCAGCATTTTCAACATCAACTATTTACTTGCTTACAAAATGTAAAAAAACAAATAAATCCCAATGTGAATTACAATAAAAATACAAGTCAGACTTTACCACAGAAATAATCATGAATTATCACACCAAAAGCAGTTTTCACACCTGAAAACAGCATGTTCCATATGCAAGTATTGCTTACACTGACAGCATGTATGTTTTACTTTCCTATCTTTTTTGGCAGGTCATATATGTCACCTCTCTTGTCTTCCTGTGTTGTCAGGAGGTTCCTATTACACTGTATAATGTATACTTAGCAGGAAAACAAAATATCAGTAAAATAAAATGTCAAATATATACTGGAACATCAACATTTTCTACATCAAATGTTTGCTTACTAAATCTGAAAACACAGAAATAAATTCCTATGTGAACTACAATGAAAATACAAATAAAAGTCTGCCACAAATATAATTTCTACGTACTTCAGTTATCACACCAAGGCAGATTTCACACATGAAAACAGCATGTTCCATATACAAGTATTGCTTAACCTGATAGCACATGCAATTTCCTGTCTTTTTCGGTAGAACATCCTATTTTCTTAGGCTCTTGTGATATTTCACCTGTCTGTTCATCAGTCTTCCAGAATTCTTTTGCAAGTTCTTTGGACAGATACATACTGTTCTTCCTCTGCTGTAATCGATCATTTGTCAGTTCCAGTCCCAATCCTCTAAGAAAATTTTGCAATGATATTTTGTGCTTGTTTAAGTGTGTGAACTATGAAACTATGCCTGATTTGTTTAGGATTCAGTAAAACACAACCATTGGCCAGTGCTTTGTGTTTCAAGTGACATCAGAGCTGCTACAGAACTTGTCAACAGCATCTACTCTGCCTTTCATTTTGTTGTAAAATGTGACCATTTTTCTGGCTTTGAGTTGAGGATTCATTCTCAGTCTTTCGGTTTTTTTGAGACAGGGTCTCTCTATGTAGTCCAGGCCAGTCTTGAACTCCCTACATAGCACAGGCTGACCTTGAACTCATGGGATCCTGCCTCAGCTTCCCAAGTGCTGGGATTATAAGTGTGCACCACCAAGCCCTGCTTCACTGTCAGTCTTATCATCATGGTGTAATGTTGACAGTATCAATACTATTTTGTTTTTCTTTGCCATATATGAGGCTAATGTTACATCTTTCTAAAATCCAAAGGTAGTACTGTATATTTCTCTGTTGTGAACTTGTGACATTTTGGGGGGAATCTCCACATCATTCTTGCAGATAGCTCCTGTGCTGATCAACTGGTGTTCTTTTAGCAAATGTAACATGAATGGATAACTGGTGAACCAGTTGTCAAATGTGACATTCGGGTTACTTTTTGAAATAGGTGCAACAGGTCTGTTCACAACATCATACAATTTATTACTGCATGATTTATTACCTGGTGGCTGAGTTCCAGGATAGATTTTTAATTCAAGATGTAAAATGTCTTCACATCTACCAGGGTATATATTTATATATCATACTTGGAGGTTGATTTGGCATATTTTGCCAAAAGCTTTAACAGCCATAAAATGATACAAATTGTTCATCGATTGTTTTGTATTCAGATGGTGTATAAGTTGTTGGACAGTTCAAAGCTTTCAAAAAATGAGCAAATAGCAGCCAAGTTGTTGGATTTTTTTTTCTCCCTTGGTGGGTCTTTTTGTTGTCAAAACATAGACCATTTTGAAGGAAACTAAGTAGCTTTATTGTTCTAAAAATTGCAATGCCACATCTGTGACATGTCCATAAGTCCTTTAGATTCTGACAATTAGATGATAAAGTCTGCAAAGAAGGTTTTTAGTTCAGATAGTGATGTGTCATGATAAATATATTTTTGAGTATTACTAATAGTACGTATAGAACATTTTACTTGTATTTCATTTTTAATGTTATTTCATGACATCTTGTAGCATATCATTCATTGCAATTAATTTCCAACATTGAACTGCAGTGTTAACATTCCCTCCAGTAGGTTTCATCCCTGGCAAGAACCTAATAACATTTACTGACCTAGTTCTAATGTTGGATTGTTCAGGTATACATGAACATTTTGTAGCATTTTGACTAGTTAAATATTTATTTACACGACTGTTTTCTTCCTCATCTGAGTCAGGGTCTTCATTCTCTACTTCTCTGTCATGTCTTGTTCCATCTCACTGTTACAGCTTCTTTGGCTTATATGATCCAAGTGATCATCAGTAGCTGAATCACCTGATGACACTTTCCACCTCCTCCCAAAGTTGTAAAAGCAGATTTTCATGTGACATTGTACAGAATTGTACTAATTCTATAAGAAAAATCAAAAGAAAATATTTAATGAAACAAATTATAAATACACAAAAATGTAACACTGCATGGGAATATGTAACATGGATAAAACTCACTTGTTGATACTTTGACACACATGCATACACCTTGCCATTCATCTGCCAAGTAGGTGAGCACAAAGATTGCTTCCTATATTCCCCTACTGCAGCTACTGAAATGCACAGCCAGCTTCCATTACACTAAAGTAAATATTTTCATTAGAAAAGTATGTGAGTATCTCCTATCCTGAGTGAGGAGTGGAGTCTATTATTGCCACACTGAGCACCAGGCTTCCTACACAGACACCTGGGGGAGACACTCAGACCACATAGCTCCAACTTAACAGCACTCTTTCTTCCCCTTTCTTACACCTTTGCCTTTGTTGCCTACACAGTTCATCCCTTTGCTTTCTTTATAAGCTTGTCCTGCTAGCACACCAAGGGGACGCCATTATGAGCCCATCCTCTGACATACTTGAAGCTGACTGAAAGTGTAAGGTACACTCTCTTGAGTGTCATTTTTCTGTATGAATCAGAAGGCAGTGACTGTCAAGCCGTGAAACCTTAGTTTGTAACTCCTATCTGAGCATATGTTTCTGCAGTACAGATTGCCTCTAGAACAGAAATAAATTCATGTATTTAATATCCCTATTGCTAATTTGTATTTTAAAATATGGAGAAAGATTAAGTAGTTTTATAACCTGTGAAAAACCTTAACGTTTTATTTTCCTGAAGCCTATTTTTTCCTAATTTGTAATTTTGGAAAAGGGAGCTATATTTTCTGCTTTACTAATCTAAATATTCCACTTTGCAGCCTAAATGTGGGAATAGATACTTCCTCTTTGGGATGCTCTGTGGACTCTCCCTATTCAATTTCAATATCGCCAACATTCCTTTCCCCCTGGCTCTGTATAAGAAACTTCTGGGCCAAAATCCATCTTTGGAAGATTTAAAAGAACTCAGTCCTTTTTGGGGGAAGTAAGTAAATATATTTGCTTTTTAAAAAGACTGTATATAGTTTCATTTACATAGTCATAAATCATGTTATACAGAGATACCTAATCATGATCTTCTGTTTCAGTATCATATGCCCTTTACAAAAATTGGAATTTTATCATAATTTATAATTAGGTAGATCTTCAAAAATGTTCCTCTGATTATTACCTAGCATCATAAACAGATCTGTGCCTGGTCTCTTGATTTTATCCACATAGGTAACAGATTTTGAAGAGTATATATTATATATGTGGGTTATCAGACATGTACTATAAGTACATATAGCTTATATAAATATGTATGTGTGGCTAATCAAAAAATAAAATATGCTTAACCTTTCTAGTAATTAAGTAAATGAAAACTGTCATTTTTCTGCTTATACATTGATATAAGAATTCTTACAGTATTGGGAAGAAGTCCAGGGAAAGATTGTTCTCATGTACTATGTGGGAGAATATACTGGCTGCATTTACACTAGAGCAAGATTTCTCTGCCTTGGTGAAACTGACGTTTTGGGGACACATGCACACTCATGCATGTGTTTATTTTGCTAGGGAACCACCACAAGCTTCATTAATCACTCTACCGCTAAGCTATGTCCCCTGCTCCCTGGGATTTAACTCCATTGTAGGAGGCTGTCCTGGGCATTATGCAATGATTAGCATGCTGCATTTGGGGGCTATTCATTAGATACCAATAACAACACCCCCTTTGTTGTGACAACCATGTCCAGATTTTGCTGTATGTCCCTTGGAAATACAGTCATCCTGATTGAGAATCTTGGCTCTAGAGATGGGCTCCTTTGTGTAATTTTCATAATACACAGCAGTATCTGTGGGGTAGTATGGGTTCTAACATTGAAACATAAATAGAGGTTGCTTTAGGAAGAGGAATGGGAGATGGAAGAGCAGAAATTTATATTTCACTGGTTGCATTTCTATAATGTCAATTTTCTTCAGTTAATATGTATTGCTTTTGAACTTTTAAACAATCAATAATATAATTTTTATTCTAAAATTTTCTCTAGGAGTTTGCAAGAAATTATAAATGATGAAGCTGATGACATTAAAGAACTTCATATGTATTTCTCTGTGAGTATTTAGGAAAGCCTGATTATAGTTTACTTTAAACTGCATGACTAGAGAGCAAACCCCAAGCCTTGCAGATGCTAAGCAAGCACACTAGCATTGAACTATACCCCTGGGCCACCCCTGTTTTTGTAAAATAATTTTTATTATAATATTTTAAATATGGAATCTTATTTTTTCAAAGATATTTCACTTCTGTACTGTAAAACTTTCCCTCCCACTTGTTCTTTATTTGATACCTTATGTATATGTATATATTTTTGAAAGTTACAATTATTCAATTAATGTAAACAGCTAAACGGAATACTTCATGTTTGAAATCTTATGTATGACATGTATTAGGGTACCTTTCAAAATTTTGCATGCATTTAAAAGGCTGAACTACATAAATAGTCCTAGTTATTTTCAGTTTTACAGGAAAAATCTACTGGCAATAATAGTATTGTGAGTGGTTGATTACATTAATACATTTTGGTTACAGATACCTTGGGATCAAAATGATGTTGATTTAATTCCAGATGGGATCTCTGTACCTGTGGACCAAACCAACAAGTAAGTTTTGAGAACTAGAATGTTTGCTTTGAATATACATCAAGTGTTGGTACAACAATATATTAAAAATGTATTTTAGCTTTTAAGATAATGACTTTAGGTCAAATTTATAAGGGAAGAAAGGATTCAGGATTAAGTATTTTCACATTTAACAAATATTTTGGGGCCGGGGATATATAGCTGAGCAGCACAATGCCTGCCTAGCAAGCATAAGGTCCTGAGTTTGATTGCTAGTACCAAAAACAAACAAAACAAGTATTTTGGAGCCCCTATTCTGTATGAGAACCTATACTAGGTACTGGAAATAGAAGAGTAAAAAAGATTAAATCAGGAACTTGAATTCTGGGGCAGTGCCAAAAGGTATAATAGATATCATGAAATAGGAAGTAATTGTTCAAAAGGAAAGGAGAATTTGGAAGGAGGAGTGGAAGGGAAAAGAAAATTAAGGATAAAATGGAAACAAAGCTTTGTAAGTAAGGAGTGGAAGAAGGGTTGAAGAGAAGGGACGGGAATGGGGGAAAAAAGAGGAACTAAGATATATCATGCATATCTAAACTATACCAATAAACTTAATTATAAAATAAATTTAAAAATTAAAAAAATTAAATTCTGGGGTAGAATATAAATAAAACTAAATTCTGGGGCCAAAAAGAAAAATACATAAATAAGTTAATATGTGATATATTGGGAGATAAAGATGTGTTATACTTTGAAAAAAGTTAAAACCAGGTAAGGGACTAAGTAGCTACAGGTACTGGTATGTAGGAACCAGCCAGTATCAACTTGGAGAGAGAGGTCATTGTTAAATTTTCAGAACTCTTTTTTTAAACAAATATATCAACTTGAAGTTAGCTATTATGGGAATATTTATACAATGGAAGTCAGCAAATGCTACACAGGTTCTTGCCCCCAACTCCCAAGTAAATATAAATAGGCTAGTTCTCAAAGGCTGCTTACAGTATAGAGACTGTCACTCTTCTAGTGAGAATGCCTCCACTATAAAGCCTGCTGTGTTAGCCATTTTTTAGGACTATCATTAAATATCTGTCCCCAAGTAACTTTATGAAGAAAAAATGTTTCTCTAGCTCACAGTTGTGGTTCAGTGACCTACATTTGATGATGGCTTTCCTTTTTTTTTTTGAGACAGGGTCTCACTATACAGTTCAGGCTGTCCCTGAGTTCACTTTGTAGCACAGGCTGGTCTCGAACTCACAACGATCCTCCTGCCTCAGCCTCCCGAGTGCTGGGACTACAGGCGTGCGCCACCACGCCCGGCGGGATGATGGCTTTCCTGCTGACAGAGTCCCAGTGCTGCACAGGGAATCCCAAAGGAAAAAACAGGAGCACACATGTCTCTTGTGGTCTCTCTCCTTTATCTTACAAGGCCACCAGTGTTCTATTATAGGTGCTTCACTGTTACACCTTGTGTAATCCTAATCAATTCCCAGAGGCCTCACCTATTGTTAGCTGTTGTATGTAGATATCCCCTAAAAGCCGCATACGGTCATACGGGGTGCTTTTCAGAGGTGGTTGGATCTAGAGTGTGTGATGCCGGGCTCAAAGGTGTGTGATTACTAAATCAGTCCACTGATTGGTTTGACAAAGTTCTGGGTAAGATCAGGGGTTTGAGTGCTACACACACCCTAGGGCAGGTAGCCTGCGTAAAATACAAGGGACGAAAACAGGGTAAATGTGCTCTCACCTGCCTACATGCAGTGGACTGTACCTCCTCTCTGATGACCCTCTGCCATGCCACCCTGCCTTGGATCCAGCCAACTGTGAACTGAAACCTCTACAAAGTGTTAGCTACAATAAACCTTTCCTCCTTTAACTTGGTCTCAGCAATGAGGAAAAGAACTACAATGAGGAAAAGAACTACAACACTTATGAACATCATAATCACATTAAATTTCAGTCCTTTTAGTACCTCACACTGGGGTACCTCACACAAAGCCTTGGGGGACACACAAAACCAGCCCAAACCATACTACTTGCCATCAGGAAATGCATCTTGTAGGAAGTTATATCCTGTAGTACAGGTCAGATCTTCCACAAGCAGAAGGACTAAGCCCCTCTTGTTGACACTGAAATCTAATGGCTGATAGGAGTGCCCAGGTGAAGAGGAAACATGGCTTACTGGAGAGGAAAGTCACATGGTAGAGCTATCTACAAATGAGAAAGAGCAAGGCCAGAGCGGAAAATAGAGGAAGAGCCTACTGAGATCGGCAGAGTCAGGTCATGGAGGGGTTTTGATCCTTGCCATGCAGGTGAGGAATTTGCCCTAAGGGCAGTGAGAAAGAGTTTAAGCAAAAGAGTGACAAAATGGTTTGAAAGCCCTATACATTCCATGGAAACTATACTCCATGTTTTAAATGTTGATCTCCCCTTGGCGAGGAACAGGTGCAGTGCAGTCTTGTGATGCAGCTGCCTGTGAGCCACAGGGTGAGGATGGGAAATGAGCAGTACTTTACAGTGAACACATGTACTAAGGGAACATTTGTTCCATGATACTTCCAGCTCATGATGGACCTACTTGGACACACCCCAAATGTAAGTTGAGGTACATGTGTATTCAGAGTAGTGTTAATAAAATCTCCTGGTTCCAGGGAGGAAACAAACAAAGGGTTGATCTTTCTGCTTATCTTTCTGCTGAGCAGGTTTTTTTTTTTTTTTTTTTGGTTTTTCTCCGGTACCGGGAACCGAACTCATGACCTTGCGCTTGCCAGGCAGGCGCTTTGCCGCTGAGCTAAATCCCCAGCCCCTTGCTGAGCAGGTTTTAATATTCCCGTACCAGCTTATCTGCTATGGAGAAATGTACTTTTCTTTCTCAATAAAAATTGTACAAATAGCAAAGTGGAGATTATGGTCATCATTTGTAAAGTATATCACTGGCTATTTTTTTTTTCACTCCCTCAAGGAAAGACTATGTCTCTAAGTGTGTTGACTACATTTTCAACATCTCCATAAAGAGAGTTTATGAAGAATTTCATAACGGATTTTATAGAGTCTTTGACCAAAAGATAATTAAATGTTTCCAGCCTGAAGAACTAATGACAGCAGTAATTGGAAGTACTAATTATGACTGGGAAGCCTTTGAAAAGGTCAGTGTTTTGTAAGTTGCCTCTAATTCTTCCCAAAGACTCCCATATATCCCCTCCCTGAAAAAACCATTTTTCTCCTTTCTCTCAAGAACTCACAGTATGAACAAGGATACCACATATCACATCCTACTATACTGACATTTTGGAAGGTTTTCCACAAGTTAACTTTGGATGAAAAGAAAAAATTCCTTTGTAAGTATGGCAATGCTGCATGGCTCCACAATTACCTATCTCATACAAGGGTAAATAGCTGTGAGTGATAGTCACTCTCAATAGTAGGTCACATGTGTTAATGGCAGAGCAAGGAGAAGAACCCAGGCTCCTTGCCTTCTAGACCACCATTCTTTCTCTTATAAAGAAGCTTATTTCCTGTTTTCATTAAGTAGTAATAGGCATAATGCAGTTTCACCTCCTTTTCTACACTGACTAATCCTAGGTCCACTTTTTATATTGTGTCTTCCTTTCCATATTCCTTTTGGTTCCAAATTAAACTTTTTATGTAATACTCTTAAGTTAATTACCTGAGTCCTCTGAGTCTTTAAAATAATATACTGTCTTATATAAAGTAACACCAATGACACATAATGATAAGGAGGATAGCAGCAACAGCAGCATTTCTTGTGCCTTCACTCTGTGGCCAGCACTCTACTGACCACTCTGTGTCTGTCACTTCCCATTACCCTCCGTAGCAATCCTGTGGGGTAGGTGCTATTACTTCTTCCCATTTCAAGTATCAGGAAACACAAGTCTGGAGCATTTAGTACTCTGCCCGTGTTCAAACAACTTGTAAGTGTGAGATCCAGACTTTGAACCTAACAGGGTGAGTCTAAGCCTAGTTGTTAGGTTTTCTTGATGGGAACACAGCAGTTTCTCTGGGATCCAATTAACTACCTAATTTTCTCCTTCTTCCATTTTCAGCTTTTTTTCCTCAGTATTGGAGATTGAATGCAGTATCAGTCTACCATTTCCCACCCTGCTTGAGATAGGGTTTTGTTAAAGTGGCCCATTGGCCTTGAAATCGTGAGCCTCCAGCTTCAGGCTCCTGAGTCTTTCAGCTCTTTGTTTTAGTGGTTAGTCTTTGCTTTTCTAGAAAAAGTCTCTCTATTTAGTGCAAGTTTGCCTTGAAATTGAGATCTTCCTGCCTCAGTCTCCCCAGTGCTGAAATTAAAGGCTTGCACCACCATGCCTATCTCAGCTTTTCCTTAAATACACATCTTTCTGTTTTTTGTTGTTACTGAATATGCTGAAGTACAATTTAAACTTCTTTACAGACCCTGTTTTTCAATTTAAAAAACTGCTTCTCTCATCTTCTCTTCTAAAAAGAGTAACTTTTGCTTCAACCCATTGCTTTAACTGTCTGTACCTTCATAGAGTTCACTTACATCTTCCCACCTCTGGTTTTTCCCCTGCCTTGTGCCAACCTACAATAAAACCAGCCTCGGCAACAACAAGTAAGATTAAGTTTACTTGGGATTAATTCAGATGACAATGTGGGAAAACACAAGATTCAAGCAATCTGGAAAATGTGCTCAAGTGTTTTACAAAATGATGGCTGTACCTATAGCTTTAAAGTGTGAGTGGGTTGGAAACTGTGTCACTTGTTAGGAGTTAAGGTTGGTGCTGGCAAAAGTGAAGCAGTTTTGTAAGGAAGTGAGTAGGGCCAGCCCCAGTCTCCGGGTAGTTTGGTGGTAGGGGCCACTGTAGAGGTCAGTAGAGGTAACAGTGTTTCAAAGGTCCCTCCAGGGCTGGGCGTGTCTACAGCCCAGCTCAAAGGGTCTGCTGTGGACTGTCACGGACCTGAGTAACAGTGGCCTCTGGACTCCAGTATAAGTGGCCTGAACCAGCCCTGCTCTGTTTGGGTTTTTCCTTCTCCCTTGGAAGCTGGCCCAACTCCTTTTCTAAAGAACAAGCCAGTGGGGCCTCTAAGTCTCCCTGACCACCCCGACCTGCCCTCTTACTTCCTGCCCCAAGTCCCGGTGCTCAAGGAAGCTCTCAACCTCCAATCTCCTGGTTGAGCTAATTTAAATTTATGTTTTCATGGATGTGATTTACCTCAAATGGACCTCAAATTCATGGAGGACAACAACTACATGTTGTGATGTTTCTAGGCACTGTGTCCCTGCATAGTTCACTCTACACAAGGGTGCTTACCAGTCATTTATTAAATGAATGGTATCATTAATTTCTTTTTCTCTTTCTCTGATACATGTTAACTACATTTTATTCTTTTCCAGTATTTCTTACAGGGCGTGATAGATTGCATGTAGGAGGCATCCAGAATAGAGGAATAGTGTTCCGCTGTCCTGCAACTTTCAGTGAAAGAGATTACCCAAGGTCACTGACGTGTCACAGTGTTCTGTATCTGCCCCAGTATTCCACAATGGAAAGAATGGAGGAAGTCCTTCACGTGGCTATCAACAACCACAGGGGCTTTGCGCCCCCCGGGATCCTGCTCCCATGATCAGTTCCCAGGGCCTCAGGGAGGCCTCAGGTGCTCAGTCTCTCAGCCTTGGATTCTTCTGTTTCTGCTTGCATCTAGTCAGTACAAGAGGTTGACAGTCGTTAGTTATCATTATTTGGATTTGGTGATAATAAAGTTATACATCAAAAGTAATATTTATAGTGACAAAAATTATTTATATCATTGTCTGTATCCCTAAGCTTATTACTAGAATGTTTGCTTTTACTGAATTATTTCCTGAACAATAATTTTCATTTAAAATTAGGCCAAATATTTAAAGTATCTATATATTTTTAAAATACTGTACATACCTCTAATAAATTATCTGTAAATCTGAAAGACATACTCAAATTAGAATAAAAGTATTTGCTAATTTGAATGTTTTTCAGCAGTCAGCGTATATGTTATATTAAGCTATGTCTTTAGTTTTGATTTAGCAAACTATTCTTTGAAAAATCCAAATAGAATTTATTGATAGGGGGCTGGGGATTTAGCTCAGCAGCACAGCACCTGCCTGGCAAGTGCAAGGTCGTGAGTTCGATTCCTGGTACCAGAAGAAAAAACAAACAAAAAAAAAAGAATTTATTGATTCATTGTATAATTAGGTATAATTAATAGTTTGGTGCAATTCTAAGTTCAGATGCCTTTATTTTGGTAAAACATTGAGTCCAAGGAGGAATGGCCTATTATTTGCAGTTGGAAAAATACTTTGCAGTGTCTTATTACCATACCTGTAGAGCAAATTGATAAACATAATTATCCTGAGAAATACCCAGTGAATTTTTTGGTCCAGCTCTATCTGATGTTCTTGTTTGTTATGATAGGATCTCACCATGTTATACAGATTTGTGTGGAACTCACTGTGTAGCACAGGCTGGCATCAAACTTGTGATCCTTCTGCCTCACCCTCCTGAGCTGGGATTATAGGCATGTGCCACTATACCTGGATCTTGTGTTAAATTTTCAACTTTGTTAAGGAGCTTTGAAAGGATTCCAAACACATACAATAATTTTCTAAATGAATGATATCTGTTACATTACAAGTAGAACTCGTAGTGTAATCACCTACCCTGTAAGAATGTTCCCCCAAAAGGGACCATATATAATTTTTAAAAGTATGTATAATATACATGCATACATACACATACATGTAGGAGAATGTGGAAGCAAGGAAATAGAAGATCTCAGAACCACCCCACCAACTCTCCCAAGGGAGAGCCCCTAGCCAGACTTAGCAAGAGAAAGTAAGAAAAGACATCAGTGCAATAATTAGTGAAACAAGTGAAATCATAAAAGACACTGGAAATCCAAAAGGTAGTAACTACTTTGAAAAATTATATTCAAACAAATGAACAAAACTTGGAAGAAATGGGCAGAGTCATCCTAGACAATAGAAACCACCAAAACTAACCCAAGAAGATATAAATATATTTAACAACCCATAACAAGCAATAAAACTGACACTGTAATAATCTACAAATTAGAAAAGCCCAAGGCCTGATTCACTGTCGAATTCTACAAAACCCATAAGGATGTTATATCACCAATACTACTCAAGCTCTTCAAAGAAATTGAAAGGGATGGAGTTCTTCTAGACTTATTTATGGAAGCCAGTATCACCCTGATCCCAAAACCAGATAAAGACCCAACTAAAAAGAATACCATAGGCCAGTCTCTTTATTGAACATAGATGTAAAAATCCTAAACAAGATACTAACCAATAGATTGCAGTGCATTAGCAAAAAGATTATTATGATCAGGTAGGTTTCATGCCAGAGATGGATATTTCAACATACAAAAGTCAATAAATGTAATGTGTCACATTAAAAGAAGTAAGGTTAAAAAAAACAACCCATATGATCATTTCAGTTGGTGCAGTAAAGGCTTTTGACAAAATCCAACACTCCTACATGGTAAAAAAAGTCCTGAAGAAAATAGGTATAAAAGGACCATATATGAACATGCTAAAAGGTATACATGAGAAACCAGTACCTAGCATCATACTAACTAAAAGCATTCCTCCTAAAATCAGGAACAAGATAAGAATGTCCACTATCACCTATTCTATTCAACATAGTACTTGAAACAGCAATTAAGCAAGAAAAAAATAAAGGAGATACATACAGGAAAGGAACTCAAATGATAGTTATTTACAGATGACATGATACTCTACGTGGAAGACCCAAAGAAATCCAGAAATCTCTTAGAATTAATAACAAATTTCAGCAATGTAGAAGGATACAGGATCAACACAAAAGTCATTAGTATTTGTGCACACCAACGAATGGAATGAGAAGGAAATTATGAAAGAAATACCATTCGCAGCTTCAAGAAAAATCAAATACCTAGGAGTTAACCTAACCAAGGAAATGAGTGACCTTTACAAAGGAAACTAGAGTACACTCAAAAAGATTAAAGAGGACATCAGAAAATGGAAAGATACCCCGCTTCTGGATAGGCAGAATCAATATTGTCAAAATGGCTATATTTCTGAAACTTACACAGATTCAATAGAGCCCCAACCAAAATAACAACAGCGTACTTTACAAATCTAGAAAACAATCCTGAAACTCATATGGAACTACAAGAGACCCAGAATGGTAAAATCAATGTTGGGCAACAACAGCAGACCAGGAAGTATATCAATACCTGCCTTCAAGCTATACTACAAAGCAATAGTGATTAAAAAAAAAAAAAAAAAAAAGGTTGAACAAACCCTCAGCCCCACACGCCTTGTGCAGCAAGAGCCAGTGTTCCAGGAGTGGCTAGACACCTGGGCTCGAGTCTGTGCTCGCCCACACTGCCACGGTTCCCAGCTGGAACGCGCGGAGAGAGCCAAGTATTTCCCAGCTACTCCCTGAGGGCAGCGCGTATATCAGGACCCCGCCGCCCAAGCCCCAGGAACTTCTCTGGCTGCGGGCGGGGCGAACAAACCCTCAGCCCCACGCTCCCCACGCGCCCTGCGCAGCGAAAGCCAGTGTTCCAGGAGCGGCTAGACACCTGGGCTCGAGTCTGTGCTCGCCCACACTGCCA